GTCAGCTACTCCCGAATGTGTATGTGCGAGTTAGCATTAGGTCTGTGCTTTTTATATGTGAGAGCATCCTTCACGCATGCATTGTGAAGAAATGGCGTAATGTAACACTCGCTATACGCAATCCGATTAGAGTCTGCTTATCTTTGCTGTTTGTTTATTTGTATGGAGGAAGTTCTTCCACACTCGTCTAGTAAATTATAGACATCAGCTAAAGTTAAATTGTCCATTTAATGTAATGGATGGTGTTTTTTTTTGCCATGATTACTGTAAGTAAGATGGATACATTTGTGCCATGTTAATGATCAATTTCTTTCCCATCTTACTTAAATTGTCCCCCTTGATGACAAATGATTATGAAGACAAGATCCAGCTTTCATGTTCCTAGAGTTAGACCAATAGATACATTGTACAAAACAAATGCCTATAAAGACACCTGACATTATCTTCATCTTTCCGTCGTGAACAAAAGCCAAAAATAACCTCATATCAACCGTCATCTAAATATCCAACCGCTACCACCCCTGTCTGTCCTTAACCGTGTCCTGATTGCACATTTTGCAACCTCTAGCCGCCGTTCCAGTCTCTTAAGGGAGTATTACCCTGCAGCGGGATGATAGGCAGATACAATCCACGGACTGTTGCCGGCAGGGACGGAGTTCGTCCAACCATCTGATGCCACGAACCGGTTACAGCCGCCATCTTGGACGAACAATGGAGTGCCAGAAGGGTGCTCGACCCGCGGGGAAACTTTGCGGATTGTGGAGATCTCGTCGGACAAGACATGCTGAATGTTGGTAGTAAAGTGGTTTCATAGCGAAGCGTTTTTGTTTGGCTGCGATCATTGCAGCGGGTCTTTCCAATATCTCTAGAATGGCTATAGGCTGGCTGGTTGGCGAAAAGTTTGAGATTTGTTCACTGATTACTAGCACTCTTGACACATAGATTGTGCGAAAAAAAATACGAGCTAGGCTAGTAACTTGTCTGTGGTGCTGACCACCGTATAAATGAGGCTAATCGAATATATGCTGTCAAGCGCGGTCAATCCAACGTCATCCGTCGTGGCATCTGTATTATGCACTATTTATTTCTAACCCGTAACATACTGAGTGTATATCCGGTCCTGCATGAGCAGAGCCAACAAAAGAATAGCAGGAGGAATCACCTACGATTCACAGCAATTGGACAAGCAAGCAAAGATGTATGCAAATACAAATAGTAAATCCCGATATTCTTCGAGCCATTCTTATATGGAGCTCTGACGTTTCCCTACACAAAGTAACGTCGTCATCAGAAGCGTTCATACCCCCACGGGACTCTACCAGATGAATTCAACCCCTATTGGATGAAGTCCGCCTTCACAGCTCGGGAATTCACGTGGCACCTGCCTCGGGCCTCAGGCGGACAGACAGACAAACAGACGGGGCTACGGAGGAGCCCCTATCGAGGCGGCTCTAAAAACTCCCGCCCATAAACACACGAGTGACGCGTGGCGTCATCGCTATGGCCGTCGTCACTCCCAGTGACCGCACCTCCCCTCCTCTCCCATCCCCTCCCACCACACCGACACACACACAAGCCACAACAGCTGCCGAAGCCTCATGAAGACGGCAACGACCGCCACAAGCGTGCGACGGAAGAGGAGCCAGGGAGGAGCCTTGAGCGACGCCGGCGGCGGTAGCGGCGAGCAGCGGATGTTAGGGCGGGGATGGTAGTGGAAATGCCAGTGGAGCCCTTCGCCACCTAACGATGGAAGTTCCGTTAACTCCACAGACCGCCATGGAACAGCGGACAGAGCGCTGTCGGACAGGTAAAATACTCGGCAATACGTGTAGGCACCTGACACCAGTTTTACTGGCTACTTTCGACGAAATGTATTATATAAGCGACAACCAAACAAACACGTCCCGTAACAAGCAGGCGTCATTACTAGTTGTGGGATTTTGTCAGGTAACTGTCTGTATCGGAGACTAAAAACCGTCTACTAGGTTATCATATGCCACTAAAGCGTGCGGTTCCGGGAACCGCCATCGCTGCCACAAACGACGACAATATTGCCTCCATTTGGTGCCGCCAATGCGACCGGCGGGCGTTTTACGGCACCTTCCGTGGTACTTTCGAGGAATGGGATTCCCGCACCCGATCCGCGAAGCTCCGGATTCGAGGTACGCGTTTCGGGTCAGTGTCTTGTCGGAGCCCATTTCTGGGTCGCCAGACAGCAAACCGAATGACTTGCTTCTCTCGTTCGGGTCGCACCATCTTCAAGAGCGGTCGATTCGACGTCTGGGACCAAGTCATCAAACCAGAAAGTCACCTCAGTCTCCAGGTAAACGCCCTTAGGAGGGTACGGAGAAGCGCTCTCAATATCTGCGAAGCGCCACCAGACACTGCGAAGAGACTAGCCGTGGCAGCGCTTCGAGGAGCTCCGCAAAACTATCAACTAACCACTGCTTCCCATCAGAATAGTGCCAGAAAACGACGAAAAGGCTACGACACAGAGTATTAACCCGCGCCCCAGTGGCGGTCTCAGCCAACTTCGCCCTAGTGAGGGGGGGCATATGTTACCACCCACCTCTAACTCAAAAAATAAGAGGGCTAGAAAGACGCGGTAAAAAGCAGTCGATAGCTCTCAATGCGTACGTTTGAAAGTATTTCGGCCATTTTTCACCTTAGAGCAATATTGGGGTCACCAGAGGTCATCAAAGGTCAAAATTTGCCAATTGTCATTATATTTTTCAGAAAACATGCCGCTATCTCAGGAACTATGGTAGCTAGAAAAACGCACCGAACAGCAAACGATAGCTTTTGAACTCTTCTTTTGAAAAGGTCATTATCAATATTGACCTCAGGTCAACGGTTTAGCTTCCAGAGGGCAAAAACTCCAAAAATAGCTGTTTTTACGAAAAGTGTTTTTCGACAATAACTTTCGACTACAAAAAGCCACGACATTTCTATTGCCAGAATCGTGTTCCCCTTGCCAAGACGCGTCGAATGAACTATAACTTGACCTTGAAAGGTCAACTTGAAAATTTGACCTCAGGTCAAGGTCATGACCTGACCGGAAAAGGTCATGTTGCATATCAGTCGATGCGTCTCAACAAGACAAACACAATGAGACCATCCCCAGCGTTCTATCTCTTTCCAATCGCGAGTTATGGGCAAAAAACTGTTTGTAGCCTCAAGTGACCTCGGATGACCTGTCTAGAGGCTATCAGCAAAAATGACACCTTTGTCATCACGAGTGGACTAAATCATTGTGATTCTGAAATATTTGGACTGTTCCGATGCGTACACACGGAACTAGAGGCATTTTCATTTTTCTCCATTGACTTGTAATGGAAAGGTCACGCCACTGAGCTGACCTTAGGTCACGGATATAAAAAATCCGAGATATACAAATTGTAGGCGCCCATAACAGCATGCAATCCACCAAGTTTGAAACCTTTCTGACAAACACTGCAGGCTGGACATGATTGCAAACTTTTTTTTAGGCTTGGTCAGTTAACTTGACCTGGTGACCTGACCTGACATGACCTGGGGTCAAAAATTTCACACATTGTCCAAAATTGATGTACCAAAAGCTACCCCAAGCGGCGCGGCGCTACGCGCCGCGGTTTTTTATTCACACGCAAAAAACGCGACAGGGTGGTAACATATGCCCCCCCCCCACTGGGGCGAAGGTTAAGAATGAAAACACGCTGGCATTCGATCATCTAAAAGACGAATTCATGTCCAGCCCCCTCTATCGGTCAACCACCTGACCGAAGGTAGGGAACCTAACGAGGGCGCCCGCCCTGCGCTCTCAGACGACGGAAAGAGCCACGTTGTCATCATCACAGCTGTTCGAACCGTTACGCGGCACAGGGGCGGAACAGTGCGCCGCCTCGCCACGTCTCAGCTCGAGGGAGCCGACCACCTGACGCTGCTACCGGTGACAGGAGCGGCGACGGGCGACAACAAATGAATGTGTCGGCTAGAGCGAGCCCAAACAGCGACGATTGGGATGAACGAGACGAGATGTGAGGGTCGTGTTTAACGAATGGTCTTGATCAAATGAAAGTTTGCAACCGAATAGCCTCTTACTTTTTCACTCGCATATCGTATAAGCTTATCAAATTCATGATCTTTTCATATAATTTTTTAGAACAAAGTTTATATTGAAGATCCATGGCACATCAGACGTGTGTGCAATAGTTCATGTAAATCCGACTTAATGTTTAAACGAATAATAAAAGGACTGCTTAGTCTATGTAGGTGCTGTTTGATATAAGTTCTCGTTAAAACGTTTCCATCCTTGCAGCATTTCCACTTTACAGCCACTTATGTTATCCAGTCTCGTGGCTAAAAAAAAAAAATATTTGCGAACGTGTCAACGAGTTTATCCCATCACCAGATCTACTATGGAGCTAAAGATCTGCATCTACCATTAAGGTGTAATGGGTGCGTGTGTGTGGGTAATTATTTACCGTTATCCCTTCACCATAACACCGAGAACCGTTGTGTAGAACTACTACTTTGTGAACCATGCGAGCTATTGTCTGTAGTTTTTAATCGGGTGTGTTCATATTTAAGCGAAAGATTACTACGCCACTTACTACAGAGCGTGATTGACATATTTTACGGGATATATCCCTAACCATTCAACAAACCGATATGTTCGTACACAACTCTTAACATAGATACTAAAAATTTGGTGCTTATCACTTGACATTGGATTGGCTTAAAGTGTATTTTTGTATTTCTTTAAACAAACATGGTTGCCTACGGTTCAAAAGGAACGTATGCCGCAGCACTTCAGTAAAATTGTCAGCCTCTTATACCAAATCACAGTGTATTGCCAGTGTGGATCTGCAAAAGCTTCCGAATCCCAAATCAATAAATTAATCCCCAGCTCGTGTATGTAAGCGTGTCGTGAGCCCCACAGCAGGTGTGTCACGAAGGCGGGCCTTCCCCCTGCGCACCTGCTGCCCCTGAGTGACCCTGGCGCCCCTCTCGGTACTCACCCCCTTCTCAGGACTGTCGAGCGGGTCGCGGACGTCTCCATTCTCGCTACCCCTCTCCGGACTGTCGGCGACGGTTGATCCGGCTCCAGAGGTGCCCGAGGCCCAGTCCGGGTCCGGAATGCCCAGGCTGGGCTCCTCTTTGACGCTGGTGGATGGTGTGACGGCCCCCGGAGACGGAGTCAGCGCATAGGGGAATAGTCCGGTCGGTGGTGGCTGGAATACAACAGGGGTTACATAGGGTTAGACTTGGTGGGCGTAGGTCATTGTGTCAAGAAGAGTAAGGGTGTTGGCAGAGTAGGTCGAGGCCATGTCTTGTGGTGTTAACACGTAGTGCAGATGACTGTTATGGTATAGATCGAATGGAAAAGTACTTGCATAAATGAATGCATGCCGTACTTTGCACATCATTCAATTATTGGTAATGACACCAATTAAGTGAGGGTCCGTAGCCGCTAATATCGAAGTTATCAATCAATAATCAATCAAACAACAATGCCAATATTTGTCACAGCGCATCCATTATGATGGGCATAACTATTGCACACAAACACTTCTCGCCTTCAACAACAAACACTTCTTATAACTTATGCAGCACAAAGCAATAACAATCACATAACATATAACACAACACTGAGCACGTCAGCTTCTTTTCACAAAGTACTAAGACTTACACCCAAAAAACACCCACATTCTTGCATTTTTAACCCAAAACATAGAACAAACCTAGCAGCCACATTGAAGAACAGGGCGGCTAAACACACCCAAAAGACAACAAAGGAAGACGTCAGATAAGGAAAATAAGCGAGGAGAGCGAGTGAGAAGGAGAAGAGGGACTAGAAAGCGGTGTGATGCATCCAGCACCCCCCGGTGGTTACGTGACGACGAGAAAGTCGGCGTCAGGTTTTCCCGAGCACAGGAAGATGATTTCTCGCGCACGGCGCGAAAAGAGCGCCTGTTGGAGGGGCCTGTAGGGAGTGGATGAGCCTCCTCCCCTCTCTACTCCGTCCTCTTTCCTCCCAAAACGTGACGGGAGAGAGTATGAGTGGTTGGGAGGATCGCGGTGTTGAATTGTGATGAACTGATGCATTTTATGGAAATGACAAGCAAGGACACGTCTCTTCAATAAAGGTCATGGGAAAGTACCTAATTTGAAAGGAACTAGCTAGCAATGGCGAATCGAAATGAAACCAGACGACCATGGAGGAATATGAAGCCGTGAGTCTGGAATGAGACGATTGCATGTAACCGACCGCGTCAAAACCCAACCCAATTACAAAGCATTTCACATGCTTCAAACGGCGCCACCTCCGCCAAGACTAGCACCGCGAGTCCGCGACCCACTACCGCACCCCATTCGCCACATTGGTGACACTCCACACCCGTGATGACAGTCTCTGATCACAACCAGCCCCAGACTTGGTGACACACTCGTGATGACACAGTGCCTGATCACTACCAGCGGTACCACTCGATGTCACCCCAACCTTTACAGTACCAACCGCGTGACTCCCAACCCAACTGGTGTGACCGGCGTGCACGGCCTCCCATCGAGGATCCAGGTCGAAGAGGAACGACCTCCCTGATGGCACGCTGGCACCACAGACGGCCGCGTCCGTGCGGGGCTAAAGGAACCCACCCATGGGTACCGCGGCGGCGGGCTGGCATTTTACGAGGGCTGAAGGCGCAGCACCGGTGTAACTCTGGTGTGCCAATGGCTTAACCGCACCGTAAAAGGCACCGCCAAAGAAGTGCAGAGATGAGTTCATGGTTGGGTTATTTCACAGGGCAGCAAATGAAGATACGCGACCGGTCATGGAGTTTGTATCCGGTATCCAGGAATAATTAGGTACAACCAACAGAGACATTGTCTTTCATGATAATTACATATAGTTATTAGCGATGGTATCTACATAAATGGCGGCTAAAAAGCGCACATATAACTGGATCTCAACAATGTTCTGGAATCGGAAGCTTCAGCGCATTACATACACTACAGCCAAACTTGACAGCATTACGCGGCTCATTATAATCACAGATTCATAGGAGAACAATGACGTCATTATTCGACACGCTTGAATGTACAATTTGCGAAATGCTGTTCCAGCGTGACCTCTCCTGGCATACATGGCGCTGTACACAAAATACAAGACCAGAATTGCTTCAATGTTTGCATACCAGCCATATCAGCATACAAAACATTCACGCACATAAAATCCATGAATAAACCCATCACATAAGCGCCCAAATATGACAGCAAACGTTACGTTTGACTGTACCCCGGTGTTGTAGAGTCATCTGTCATCACTGTCATCAGTGTCACATGTGTCTTCACGCGTGTCAGGCATGTCAGGCGGTTATCACCAGACATCACACCATAGGAGCTCGTGTATAGTGTGTGAGGCATCTTGACCGGACAGCTTTGTTCGATCACATACACTGTAAAAAAAAAATCACTAGCTAATTTTGAAATTAGGCATTTTTTACGAGTGCCTCCCTTGCTCCTCGTTACAACATATATGGACATTAGTAGTCAGAGCCATGCACGTTAACAATGCCGCTTGTGGAACAAATGCCTACGAGCGAGAACATGTTCAGGAACCTAATTTTGCGCAGTGTTAATGAACTACGCACAGCCTCACAGTGTTACCCGCCGTTGGCTTGTTCTCGGCCAGTTTTTAGCGTGTCCCTCAATTAGGTCATTTCGCTATTAGCTCAGCTGACGAGGCCCCGGCTGGCACCTACTAAACGGATATAACCTTGCGTGCAACCCCGCTTGTTGTCACGAACGCCTGCAGCTGGTAAACGTGCTGGCAAGCTTGCGTGGTAAGCGGCTTCGGATGGCTATGAGGATGTGCCTCATAGCTATCCTCGTCGCATGTTACAACCTAGGAGTCTGTGGCTGCTTTCAGAAGGAGTCCCCCCCCCCCCCGCTTCCGGGAGCCGGCGTCCATTTTGTGTTGCGTCGCCATTGCTGTGTGTGTCTGCCCAACTGCTCTTTGGCTTGATTGAAGGTGAGGCATCTTGTATCATTTGCTGTGTGCTCAACAAAAGTCATTATATGGTTGAGCTTCTTAGAAGATGTATAGTATCGCATAATGTTGCCCGTCGTTGGCAGAAGTGCGCCGGTATCGTCTATCCAAGTCAGAATAGCTATATGTTTGGGACTTAAGCTAGCTTGTGGCAGGAATCTATCACTTTATTCAACTTTAATTTAATCATTTTCCAGATTGGTATGCCTTATGATAATAATAATGTTAATATTCATTTTTTTCACCCATTACAGACTTCTCTGGTGAAGAATGGGGCCATGTATGTCCTGGCCTACCTGCACCCCGCGACTGCCGCCGGTGCAGAGCTAATGAAAAAATCACAAATGTTTGATGGTGGTTATTTAAGAAACCTTATTGAAAATTATTCAGTTAGTTGTTGTTGTTGTTGTTGTTGTTGTTGTTGTTGTTGTTGTTGTTGTTGTTGTTGTTGTTGTTGTTGTTGTTGTTGTTGTTAAAGTTATAGTTATTGTCCTGGCGTTGTTATTGTTCTCGTTCTCGTTCTCGTGCCCGAATAAATGTGCTGCAGCGCTACTCAGTCTGTTTACTTGCGGATGGCGGTCGAGAGTCGGGGGCACTGGTCGACGGAATTCCGTCGACGGAATTCCGTCGACCGTGCCTCGACCCCGAAGGCCAGTAGTGGTACTAGTTAACTAGTGCCACTACTGGCCTTGAGCTAGTACCATTACTAGCCTTGGGGGCTAGTACCATTACTGGGTATGGATTAGTAGGCAGTGGCTAGTTACCTTACCAGGCAGGGGCTGTTATGACACCTAGTAGACGCACTACCCACGCTATTTACGTGCGTGTTGTCAAACTAGGTGGAGCACGGTGGTCGTATGCATACGAGGCACAGCCTTGTCGAACAAGCTTGTTACTCGGCAACTAGCCTAAAATTAGCCAAATTTACACGCTCCTGCAATGTTATTTTTGCGCTGAGAATTCCTCTACGAGGGGCTTGTAAGTTTTTTTTACAGTGTAGCATGTAACTCGGCTATCGAGGAAGCTTAGGTATTCGCTGATTTAATGTGATACATGTTATGTCTGGAACATTATAATTGGATGTGTAGGCTTGAATTGGTATGACTTGAATTATAAGGTGCGAATTTCAATGCATGACCGACCTAATTATTTAAATTTGTGCGTGGTTGGATCCTTATCAAAAGCGTGTTTAAGATGGACCATGCTGATTTTGTAAGCTCAGAGGAGAGGAATTTAAGGGTTTTAAACGGACGTTCGCAAAGGCTACGCGGCCAAACTTGTGTTCATGAATAAACACAGATAATGATCCAGCTTCTGCCGAAGTTAAGTCTTCAGCGATCCATTTAGCATAGCCTAGCTTAGCTAGACCGGTAGCTCCTGGTATGGTTACAAGCAACAGTACCAAAACTCATTCCCCAGCATCTCCAAGCGCCGTCTTTCTCTAAACATGTTCTTCGCATCCCTCTTCCCCTATCAGTATCAGGTCATTGCCCTCCAGTGTATGCGGTGCGATACCGCTGTCTGGTGTGGACCTCTGCTCCATGATAGCGTCCCCTGGTCCCGCTGCGACCGGCCCGGGTCCCCTTGTTTGTATGTGGACCGGACCAGAGCAAACAGTCCGGCCAACGGCCTCTACGAGCCGGGAGGGACACCACGAGGACATGGGGAGGACACGGAGGCCCCTCCGACCCGGCCGGGCTCCAGAGGACATGCCAGGACAAGGGGTGGTCTGAGTACGTCAGAGGATATACATAGCGGACATACCGATCAGGACATGGGTGGCTACTCTGCTCTGCACGGGACACAATGGGAATAAAACATGAAATAAAACATATGTAGGACTGAGGGGCACTGACGAGTAGTGTAATTGGCATCAGTTAATCGATTATAAACTATTGTGAAGTTATTCCCGCTGGCAGTTTACAAAAAAGGTCTCGAGTCAGTCGTATGACGTCGAGTCACGTATGACGTCAGTGGAAGGACCAATGACGTCATCTGAGGATACTGACATAGGAAAACAGTGAGGGGAGCACTTGGTTACTCTGAACGCGTCATTCACTCCATTCTGGTGCAACATAAGGGGAATCAGGGGAGAGGTATGTGACAGTGGTTAGAAGCGGACATATGTAAGTGCGGTTCAGGTAAGGCAGGGTATGCAGACGTAGGTCATTCACGAGAATAAGAATTATTTAAGTTCAGATAAGTGCACGGTCGCTGGTTCGAATACAGAAGGCGTTCAATGCAGAAAGAGTGCAATTGTAGCTACATTTGTGCAAAACATGACTGTGAATGCAGGATAGCTTGAACATCATGTTCGATGTTATTACGAAGATACTGGCTCAGCTTCATGGCTGAAAATCGACTAGGTATTATCTATTCCTGACTAACCAGCGATCATACTCATTGAAATCACCCAACTCACTACCAGGAAATTAACCACTAATCGATTGTGGAATCTAAATATCAAGGATGTATCCTTCAACGCACCCCATCCTTCCGTTTATTCATTACGTCAAGCCCCTATTCCACGAACGCATTTTTCCGGCTCGGTGAGGTCGTGACGTCACGTTAGCTATTCTTCCTAGATCCTACCTTCCTGTACCCTACACTGCTGGGAGGACATCAAGGATATTAGAGCGAATCGTGCAAGTTTGTGCAGGGGGCGAAACGGAGGGGAGAAAGGAAAGGGAATGAGAAGAGGCAGGAAAGGGGAGTGAAGGGATGACTCATTCTTGGCTCCTCTCCAAAACTCTGCCAGACCTCTCCCAAATCCATACACCGAGCACCCACTAAACAGGTTTTCACGTAAAGAATCATTGCCACCTGTCCGATGTATCTTTGGTGCTATCATGCGAAGAGCTACTTCAATAAGCCGCAGGAAGAAAAAATTCGCTAAAATCATCCTAATCTCACATGAGCAATGAACAACATAGCCTTTCTTAGGGTAGCAGCAACCGAGAAACGAAACAGCTGATAGCAAAAAGCACCGGCCGGCGCCCCGGGTGACTGTCTGTTCGCTGCCACAATCGGGGCAACCGTCCGAGGCCGAACGACAGACACCGTAAACAAACTGTCGGCAGGGGGCGGGGGCACGGGGGAGGGGTGGGCGGGGGGAGGGGCACGGGGCAGGAGATGGGAGGGGGAGGGGAGGGGAGGGAGGGGAGGGGAGGGGCACGGCAGGAGATGGGAGGAGGGGAGGGGGGGATGTCGGTGGCGGCTTCATGGAGGGAGAATATGTTGTACTCAGGATAGTTGATCTATTTAAAAAAAAAAACTATATTTATATAAGTAGGAAGTCTAATTTTACCCATAAAATATTAGAAATTTAGCAAATATTGTATCAAATTTCCCACAAAAACTGTTTCCACATAAATACAACATGAACTCCATCCAAGCCCACTCTCCCAAATGAAAACACCACGAATATAGCGTCTCTACCGCCCTCCCATATTCCGTCTCAGTGGGGGGTGCCGGCCGGCCCGGCGGGGGCGGGGCGGGGAGGGGAGGGGCGGAGCGCCGGCAGGGTTGAGGGGGCGGGGGAGGGGTACGGGGCAGGGGTACGGGGCAGGAGGTGAGGTCACCGGACCTCGGGGCAGAGGGCGCGCGTCCGATAGAGACGAGGCCTATCGCAGCCGCCGCGCTGCTGGCGGGCGTATAGCGGGCCGGCGAGGGGTGCGGAGAACAGGGCCGGCTGTGCTTCTGTTTTTGTCCGGCAGAATGCCAGTAGATAACAATAATTCAAACACAAATACTAAATAGGTCTTGCTTTTGAATGCTTAATATGGTGCTTGGAGAGATATCATACAATTAAAACGGTTATATCATGAACTGTATGAAAACCCATTACTCAGGTTGCCTAGTCATCATGCATAAGCAGCACATCATGACACATCATGTCACAACAACCCTGTCATTTTACATAACATGAAACAACAATGTCTTCCTATTGTTCATGGATCAGTTATTTCTAATGATAATCTCACAGGCTGATCACTCCGAATATCATCCCTTCCTTCTATCCAACACGAGACCGCACTTCGCTATATTTACGATCCTTGTGACTTCGCTATATTTACGATCCTTGTGGTTAGGGTAGGGACGTCATTGAACCCCCCCCCCCCTCCCTCCAGGCCGTGTGGAGGAACAGGTGGCATGAGGCGATCGATGTTGGCAGGGAGGGAGGGAGGGGAGGCAAAGGGAAGGCAAAGGCAGACATGGCTGGACCGAATGGGGAGAAAGAGAGAAATATTAGTCATCAAATCGAATCAAAGGTGATGAGAAAGTTAATTGCTGTATATGACATACAACATTAAAAAGATCTATGGAGCTTGAATGTATGTTTGGAAGAAAGCAAACCCAGTAACTTCCGGAAGAAGTTAGCATCTTTGAACACCAACATGGTGCATTACCAACACATGTTCCGCAATCATGTAGTCAAAGGAAGGGAAGATCAGCTTCACATATCACAGGAACAGCCAGCATAATTACAACGGAAGTATACATCATCGAACAATAACAACAGCTCATGAACAGGAAAGGAGATGCGGGAAACATGGCAACCAAATTACCTACATCACACTACAACTCACACATTTCTTCAGAATAAACAACTGAACTCAGAACTCAGAACCGCCTGTCTGGGGGCAAATGATTCTATGCATGGTGTGCCTGCCTCAGTGACAATAATCATAACGCAAAGGGCTCGAATAAAATCGTTTGTTCAAAGTCTTCAGACTCATCTAGGGGGAGGGGTGGGTTGGGGGAGTTGGGGGGAGGGGGCGGAGGAAGGCAAAGCCCAAACAACAGCACAGCGGTACGTCCGGTGTTCAAATAACGTCCATAAAAACCGGGCTCGGGGCACTGAGCCGTCGAGCATTCACCCAGTCGAGGGGAATTTCACCAATGTGTACGTCACAGGAGGGAAGGAATGGGAGACGGAGAAAGAGAGAGAGAGAGAGAGAGAGAGAGAGAGAGAGAGAGAGAGAGAGAGAGAGAGAGAGAGAGAGGGAGAGGGAGAGGGAGAGGGAGAGGGAGAGGGAGAGGGAGAGGGACAGTAAGAGAGGGAGGAAGAGAGAGAGAGAGAGAGAGAGAGAGAGAGAGAGAGAGGAGAGAGAGAGAGAGAGGGGGGGGAGGGGAAAGGGAGATAAAGGGAAAGCCCGATTTACTTAGAATGGCTCGGTCCTGTCCTATCATTTAATATCAGTCTGATTTTTCAAAAGGTGGATGACCGGCGTCGCTACGTAGCGCGGTGACTTCAAAGCGTCAAGCGAAAAAAAAAAATACAAGTCCGAGTACTACGAGTGAAGACGACACTGGAATGTTGCCGGAAACCTGCTCGAGGAATGCTAGAAAGCAATTTTCTCTGTCACGAGGAATTCCTTGCAGGGGAAACAGGAATATCGTCAGCAGGTCCGTCTCGAACAGTGCCGCATAACTCGGCGACATTTGGTGGAAAAAAGTACGTAAGTCTCCGACCTGCAGAGCCGGTGCAGGCCAAGATGGCTGACCACTCCGGTCGAGAATAGGACTGAAGCTCTGCATTTTAACCAGATTTGCTGGGGACTCGGCTAGAGTCCTTCGTAATCTCTTCCTTTCGGAGGCGGTGTGCGGAATAGTTTGCAATTTTACCGTAGTTCGTCCATGGAACCCAAAACGGGGAAGACGTTAGTTACATAACCGCGATTGTTATTTTCTTTGACAGGGACGTGAACGGTGTCTGAACCGAAATACGCAACGGCATGAAACGTGTCCTAACTCCTATCCAATATCAATGACACATCGCGGTTACCATTGCCACCGAAATTACCATGGCAACAAGATTATCCATAATGCAAATGCCCTCACGACAGCCTCATAAAAATGTCCGTTCCCATACCATTTCAGGTTTTGATAAGCTACCCTGAGACGTTTCCAGGCAGCCAATGATGGACGAGGAAGTAATAAATTCTGTTTTGCAGGACAATTAAACACCACACCGAACACACAGCCTGAAAGTCACCGTCTGTGAGTGACTGAAGAGTCGACGACCTCGCGGAGTCGGTGCTCAGCCGAGGGTGACTCGCTGCGAGTCGGCTGGCCGCATATGGCGAGTCGCCATGAGTCGCTGAGTCTGTGACTCGACATGTGGGCGGCGAAATGGCATGACGCGCGCCACTACTGCCGCTGCTGGAAGCTGCGCGCCGCGCGGCAGACAACTGGGAAACCCCACCATCGGGAGAAAGCCAGCCGCTCAGGACGAGGCGCTGTCGGACGATCGTGAAAGGCCCCGGGCAACCACGAGGGTGAAGAGAGAAGGGTGCGGTGAACGGTGAAAAGGGGACGGGATCTAGGGTAAGTGGCAAGTGCTAGAGGGTAATACTTTTGCTAGGGCTATGTCACGAATTATCTTTTCCTCATCAACAGAAAGTTCTGTGATTTGAATTTCGGAAGTCTAAAGAAGGGTTAATGTTAACCCTCAAGCCCCAGACAGTACCATCATTCCGGCGCACGTACACCAACAGACACAAGGGGGGAAAGATCAAAGAAACAGAAAAGAACATATGACAAATAGAGAAATAATACCAATATCACTAAGGCACAAACATTCAGAACGTGGCACTGTTTGCAGTAACACCAGCAATAACACACTCACCACACCAGAACACACACAATGGACCAAATCGATCAGACCACGAAGGACGAAACACCCACCACCGAACAGGACAAAATCGCCCTTACACTCACCGTGGCGATGGCTAGGCGCGACGGTCCCGCCTGCTCAAAGTCCATCGATTTAGCCTGGTAGAGCGAGGCCGGCGTGACGCCTTCCGCGGCCGCTTCAGCCCCTGCGGGTGGCCAGCCTGCACCCAGCTTGCCAAGCGCCGTGGCCAGCAGGCTTCGGTTGGGGTTAGGCCGATCCGCGCGTTCGGCCCTCTCAGCTCTCTCAGCTCTTTCGGCCCTGTCGGCTCGCTCCGCCCTTTCGGCACGCTCTGCGCGCTCCCGTTCGGCGCGTTCGACGTCAGGGGTCTGCGAGGGGGTCGGATGCTCGTCTCCGTTGGTTGTCGGAGGTGGCGGCTCGTCGGCAGCCGGAGCGGAGTCCCGCGTGTCCGCATCGGACTCGACGACGGGCTCGGCGGCTCCAGAGCTTCCCCCGGAGTCCTTCATCGCGTTATCGGCCAGACCCTTGATCTGAAGACTCTCTGCCGTCTTGAGGAACTGCGCCAAGTCATCTTGCTGGACGTTTATCTCTCCCCGATACATGAACTGCAGGAGTGACTCCATGTCACAACTTCGCACATCCTTCAGGAAAACAATCGGATGCTTACAGGGATTCTTCATCAGAAGGTCCTGGAAGTAAGGACTGCACGCAGAAAGGATCACCTTGTGTGCTGAGAAGCTCTGTCCCTCGCAGGCTAGTGTCACATCGATAAAGGCCTCCTGGTTGAGAAGATAATCGAGTACAGAGACCACCGTGGGCTGGTGGTTGTTCCATTTCAACAGGAACTGAGAGTTCTCCATGGTGGTGGGTGAGGAGACGGGCTGTCCTGATGGAAAATTGGGCGGTTCTGGTGCGGCTACACGTTCAACGGCTCAGTAACATTGCTTGGCGGGTGTCTGAAACAGAGAGGCGTCGGTGTCAAGGGTGGAATGGGCACGAGTAACGCGGAGAGGTCATCGAAATACTGTTCGTGCACCATGCATTGAGCGGTTATTTCTGGTTTGCGAGTAACACGCGTATAGGTAACATCACTTTTTATCTGGAATGTTTCGCAAACGTAAAAAATATCGCAAGAAGACGAGTAAATTAGAAGAAAGTAATACGACAACTTAGGGAGCAAAATGTCCCCCAGACCAGACCTTCGTTGCTTTTGCAATCAATGCGCAACCAAACATCGCCTCTTGATACATTTGAGCTAAATGCTCAAAGACTTTCACCACGAAGCATTGAAACAAAACAAACTGCTCTAAAATTCACCTAATTAAAATGAATTAGAGTAGATTGCTCTGAAAAAAATCGTTTATTCTGTATTCAGTTCAAAGCGAAACAATGGACTATCGATCTACTACGGAATGATGATAACGGATTTTCCGGCAATGGCGCCACAAAAGGGCTAGTTGGTAATTAATTACGGAACTTTGGAGTGGTAATTTGGATTTCCCAAAACACTGTTACATGTAAGCATTGTCATAGGCAATAGACCAAACATGCAGTCCACTATAACCAGGGTGTTAACGGGACCAAAATGGGGCTAGCTTACAACTCCAATTGCGTGCACACGAAATGACTCCATGCCACTCATGTTAGAACGAGACACTGCGAGAAGACGGTATCTATAAAGTAATAAATTGGTTTTAGCTTCCGGACAGCGGACACGGCAGCACTAGCATAAAACGTAGCAACGATATCATTCGATCACTCAAAGTTTTGAGCGATCATTCAAAACCTACCTAAGCGTCCAAAAGCGGACGTTCCTTTCCGAAACATCCCACATTTTTCCGATCATTTTCTTCCCCAACTAATAATGCAGAGGATACCAATTTCCTTTTCCGTGAGGCCACCCCCGACAAGGAAAGTGTCAACAATTCCCTACACCGTCCCCCATTTCCTGATAGTGCTCCCCGAAAATGGTGTAACACTTCACCAAAAAATACACCGGCAGCTGATGTAAATCGAGTGTACAGTCGCACCGAATTTCAACAACATCCGGCTTCGGAAAAAGTAATATCGGGTCCGTTTGGCAAGGTGTCGTCGAAAAGAAATCGTTTGATTCACGTCCCGTCGGTTTTAACGCTGTAGGTATATGTACAATAGCAGCCTTTTCTAAAAAGAGACTGTATGCAATGTTTCTCATTTCTATTCCCAAGTGCGCGCAGACTGCGAGCGGCACGCATAAAAATGTCACAAAGTAGACCGTTTAACGATGTACCGTTCGGCAGTCCAGCCCCTCTGAACCGGCGCAGCCTACTTATATCGCACCTTCGTTTACTATTGCCAAACCGTTTTGCAACCACTGAATTTTTGAAAACATATGTTGTGTTACAAAGTGAGGCAAGTTACATCTCATGGCTCAATTCCAACGGAACACTGCTTTTTGGTTCACTCTCACATCTTGGCCCGAACCCTTTTACCGTAACAGCTTCGAAGAATGCCAGGTGACAGGTGCAAATATCGTTCCTTGTGACAAACCACAAACACTAACACATCATGGCCCTCATGGCAGGCACTACTACAAAACTCCAAACAGAAATCAGGAAACTTGCACACACAAACCCCTCTACCATCAACCCACCCATCCCCTCCCACCCCACCTCCCTCCCTTTCCTACCTGTCCACGGATCCCGGGCGCGGAGCGGGCACACCCTCCCTCGGCGCCGACTGCCGAGCACCTGCGGCCTGGCCGGACGAGGCGCCCGCTTCACCCAGCCCGGCGGGCGGGTCGATAGGCGCAAGGGTGAAGGACCGCCGTCCGCCGCCGCCCTCGCCGCCCGCCGCCGCCGCCGCCAGTCGCGCAGGAAGGCGGAACTTAGCAGCCGCTGGCGATGACAGTGTTCGACGCTGGGAATAAGGTGGGATCGAGTCAGAGGGAGGTGGATGAATGGTGGGTGGAACAGGTGTTTTTGAGGGCGCGTGAGGTGGTATGGCAATGACAAAATTGATAGGTTTATTGCGAATATGGTCATGGGATTGGGCACTGAACTTGATAGTGTTATCTACCTACCCTGGTTTCCTCAGATTGTTTACTATTATTTCATTATTTTTTTAAAAGATAATGTGCGAAGAGTTGTGTGAAGCTAGTTCCACATATAAGCTCTCCTCGGTCAACGCGGATATTTGGTGCCATCTAGTGTGATTTTTCAGCATGGCCCGGAAGTTCGGAACCCATTACGTTACACATCCAGCTGAATTTCAGCATCCCTGGCCTTTGGTCCACGCCGGACGTTGTGATACCAAGGACAGGGCACTGGCCTATGGCGACATGCGTGAACCTCCGCACGGTTCAAACTTGTCGGAAGTTTGTAGCGCCCCCAGTGCAGGGCAATTTCTCGCAACGAGAAACCAGTAAGTAACAAAGCTCTGGATCCATCAATTTATATTTCTCGGAGTTCAGTCACCTAAAGTTGAGTTTGATCCACGTGCCCACTCTCCACCATTCTGCTCAACTTCCGAACGGATGGTCGTAGAAAGACGAAGAAAGCGGTAGTCGAAAGCTCTAAGCAAGACGTGTTTTTTTAAGCAAGACGCTTTTTTGTGAGATCACCCGTCATATGAGCGTCTGGCGAAAAATCAAAATCGAAAAAAGCATTTGTTTCGGAATCCAGTCGGTGCAGTCCCTCTTTTCCACACGACACCCTATTGTTGCAGAATTCGGTATGCAGTCCTATATAGCCTTATAACTTTTCTTTCTTCCATTTGTAGACTCACAAATCTCATCTCAGCGGACTGCGGAAAGGTATTTCATTCAGTGGACTATCGATTGTTTGGCTCTCACCTTCCACCTCTTTCGTTCACGAGCTACACCGTAGTTACTCCGAGGTCGATTTCTCATCCACTGTCGCTAGGTTATAAAACGTTTGATGATCTCTTACCTCGTCCTTTTAGACCTTGTCCAAAAAATGGCCGAATAACTTTCGATAGACATTCCTGTCAGCTCCCGAATCTCGTTTACCTAACCTACCTCTTCCCAATAAGTTGTTCGGTTTTCACATCTGGGGCAAGGAAGGATCTGTCCTTCATATGTTGGCGCCCTTGTCATGAGGATATAATGAGGGCCCCATATCTGATCGCAAATCTTCATCATTCAATGCACACCTTCACCTGCTCAGTGAGGGAGCAAAAATTTGAAAAAGGTCAACTTTTCCAGTCGAGCACTGTCAGATGCTGGTTGGAGGAGCCACATCCAAGACGATGCTTCGCGGACCTGTGACCAGGCCACGCCATCTGTCGGTGAAGAGCTCAACCATTCCAGACTGGTTCGCTAGACGGCGGGGCGCCACAGGCACCGACAGGAGCCAACGAAATATATCAGTTGGATGGTTATCTTCAGAGGACTAGTGTGTTCACATGAATTCGACCCTAAAATATCTTTCCAACCAGTGTACCTACTTGTTATGAATTTAAAATGTGGATGAATATTGGCAACAGTTGAATGCGAGCTAGAAAATAAACAAATAGCCAGCACGGAAAGCAGGTCTTTGTATAAGCAGCCCCTTAGTTTCTGCACTAGCGCTCCATTCGGAGTTCAACTCAGCCCAATGTCTCTCCTCTAAGTCTTCTCTTAGAAATAGAATCAGAGATGAAATACCGAAAGGACCCAGTGACATGCCTCACACCAGTAAAGAAAGAAAAACGGGCTTCACTAGCGGTAGATATCTAATTCCCGCGGGCATATATGTGTATCAAGGGATAATATACGCAAATTTCATGGTGACAAAAAGAACAATAATGTACGTACACATCCCCATTGGCCATAACTTGGCTCTAGGTGACGCCAGAGCGAGCTAGCAGAGAAGCTCAGATACTGGCACAACGTTGTCCAATGTCCACCCTAGTCCAGGTGGCGCTGGCAAGTAAGCGCGACTAAATGGGGCAAAAATCACCACGAAATTGTTAGAAAGGGGTACCAGTTCTTGGCTGGAAAGTAGGTTTGAATCAGAACATACGGGGACAGCGAACGACACTACAACCACGGTTGTGCGATTTAAATAATTAGTTTTTCTTTTCCTTCACTCGCCACTTGGATGCATTGTTTGGAATATATTTGCTACAATGATTTGTTCTTCCTTAGGTATTCAGGTATGAACATGGTACATTTCACTCGTTCAGATCCTTGCAAATCACGATAAAACTGGTAACATGAACACACTGCGCAAATCATGATGCAAAAACGTGACATTTGAAATAAGCGTGGCTGAAACCTTCGAAGTTAGAGCCTAGCTTGATTCTAGTGAGGTGAAGAGGCGTAACTTTGGCTGGGCCGAGCAAATGTTGACATGAAACTGATCTCACCAGGTTCTAGTCAGTCTGTCTGTAACACTACGGTGGGAGTCATTGTTGGTAAGTGATCCCGGTTCGAGTCTTTGCTACAGCTACCTCTATGCAGACAAATAACTACAAGCAGCATATCTATACAGCGCAAATGAATCATCAAACTCATAAACAGCCGGAGAAGTGAGCACAAAAGCAAGCATTAAAAGTCGACATAACTTAGTTCTTGGCTCCTACAAAACTGTTTAAAAGATAAGCAACTAGAAAATGCGCAACAATGCATAGTTAAAAATAAAACATCGGCTTCGGGAGAAATGCCACTTTTGTAGCCAAACCATAGGAGCATGAAACAGAACACAAGCTTCACACACGCATAGTGACAAAACGCATTCCCTACTAAGAATAAATCAACTCTGATTGTTTGTAACGCAAAAAACTTATGGTATAATCGTACCGATCACGTCCTTCTGTTCAAACAAGTTGCCTTTTGTAAAGTTCTAAACAACAAAACTGTCTGAGTGTTCAACAAAGAAATCGGTATCCTTTTCCACCGAAGCGTCACCGTTCTTCAGAACCTTCTTCGCGGCACAAACTCTCATCTCAGCGACGGTACACTATGTAGTATGTACCTCAGCACTCTCCTGCTTAGGCGTATCTGAGGAGTCCGTCGCATGACTGTCCACCATTGGCACCTCATCAGTGTGCGTTGCTTGTTCACCAACGCCCGACTCCGGCTCGGTGTTGGAAGGAAGAGCCTCAGTCTGTCCACCCGGCTCCTGCTGTCCGTTGACATCCCACCCACTGAAGCTGAGCTCCGGGTACTCCAAGCTGTTGGTGTTGTATTCCACTAGTTCCTGTTGTCCAGTACAGGTGAGAACAGGACCCCCGCTGAAGGCGACCAAGTCGTTGCGTAGCTTGCGGCGACCGTTTCTGAACTTGTTTAATAGCCTCATTCTTACAACATTCTGGAAAGGAGTTGTAAAACAAATTAGTTGATTGGAGATGTTACACATGAGTGCATCGGTACCCATCACCATTTCTAGAGCACAATTCTGAAAACTTGGCAATAAGATCGTAAAAAACAATCCTAATGAAAATAGATCAAAATGTAACAACTCATAACTATAACACATTAAGATTGATTTGATTATTAACAACTGTTTCATATACTATACGCGCTGATGTATCGTATTCGATGATATAATTAACCCGCGCCCGGCTGGGGGTCCTGGATTTCCACGCCCTGCTGGGGGGGGGGGGGGTGTTTGAACACCCCCCCTTCTAACTCGGCTCCTGGGCCACGTAGCGATACGCGGAAGGCGGCGTTCGAAAGAGCGTCAAAAATAATGAGGAAATCACTTCGGTCAATTTTTTGGTCAGGTCAAAGGTCAGGTCACCAGAGGTCATTGAAGGCAAATTTTCGCCGATTTCCAGGTCGAATGTCGAAAATTTCCAAGAAGCCAACGCATAACTCGGGAACCAATAGAGCTACAGCGCCGCGGAAAAGCGCATTCGATAGCCCTATTAACGCCCTTTCTGAGTAATTTTCTCAGATTTGACCTAACGTCAACGGTTTTGCCTGCAGGGGGCAAAAACTGCAAAAATAGCCAATTTTTTCGGAAACAGTTTTTCTGCAATAACTTTTGACCCAAGCATTGTACGAGCTTACTTTTACCGGCATCGTGTTCCTCTCGTCAAGACGCATCGAACGAACTATAATTTGACCTTGAAAGGTCAACTTGAAAATTTGACCTCAGGTCAAGGTCATGACCTGACCGTAAAGGGTCATGTTGCATATCAGTCGATCCGTATCGTCGAGCTGAACACATCTAAGGCGTTTTCATCGCTCTAGCATGCCTCTATCAAAAGTTATTTGCGAAAAACTGTTAGATACCATTCGTGACCTAAGATGACCTCAGGGCATAAACAGGGGTCACAGACACCATTTTCATGTTCAGTGTGTCTAAACCACTTGTAATTCAGTGGTTGGGAGTGTTTATAATGTCTTTCGTCCAAAACAGGCGCATTTCAATTTTCTCCCATTGACTTATAATGGTGAGGTCGCAAAATTGACCTGACCTTAGGTCATCGATATCAAAATTCTGAGATATACATTTTGTACATGCTAATGCTCTTAGCAATCGCTGAAAGTTTCAAAGCGATCGGTCACTCGGTGTAGCTATGACAGACATTGAAACTTTTTATGAGGTGAGGTCACTTCGAGTGACCTGGTGACCTGACCTTGAATGACCTTGGTCTGAAATTTTCACAACATGTGTAGAATTGATGTATGATAAGGTGTACCAAAAACGGCGGCGCTCCGCGCCGCCGTTTTTGAGATATTCGCGAAAAACCACAGGGGGGGGGGGTGTTCAAACACCCCCCCCCCCCAGCAGGGCGCGGGTTAATTCAATCTGATGCCTCTCTCTCTCTCTCTCTCTCTCTCTCTCTCTCTCTCTCTCTCTCTCTCTCTCTCTCTCTCTCTCTCTCTCTCTCTCTCTCTCTCTCTCTCTCTCTCTCCCTTCCCTTCTCTCTTATCTTTCCCTCTCTCTATATGTGCCTCTGCAAAATCAAAGCCCACCCGGAGACAAACTACTCTTGAATTAGATACTTACAACGAAGTGCTGAACGTCATTGCCTTCGGCAAGGTACGGGAACTGGAAGACCAGCGACAGGCCCATTTTGTTGTACTGTAGGAGGGTTCCTTCTCCTGTGCCGCCGCCTATTGCTCGGGCGGCTATATGTTGGCAATGAATGAACTGCCGCCAATGAATGGACTGCCGCTCCGAGACCGACTGAGTCAGAGTCGGAAGTGGAACTCTGCCGCTGCGAGCGCCCGCGGCTACAGCTCACGCGCCTTGGGCTATTTGCCGTGCTCTGCGGCGACGGCTGTGGCAGTGATGGCGGCTGCTGATTGGCTGGCGCTGCGACGCCAGGGCAGCCGCCGATTGGGTTTTCTCCTGGAACCTTCTCGGACGAAAGGTCGTCTGAAGGTCATTGTGATTGACGGGGGGATTCGGTCTGGAGCGGGGGGCTAGGGTTGGATTGGGAACTTGGACTTGAACTGAGCTTTGACTTTGGTTTCGAACTTGCCAATATACTTTGACTATGCTTTTCACGGCCATGTCTACATTTGGTGGCAGCGGTTAACGAGCTTCGCTCTTTCGTAACAAGTCTTAATTATGACTTGAAGTGAAGAGTCGTACTTACCAAGAGTCAAGAACGGACTGAGGATGAAGACGTTCTCGACTGGTCCGCTCGGCGCTCGGCCTTGGGCCTGGCCTACTTCGCGAGTGCATCCGGTGAACTCGGAACTGTGAGTTTTCGTGTCTGGTCCCGCCTCGGCCATGATTTTGTGCCTGAGTCGAGACTGTCGGTAACTTGTGCCGCCCAGAACTATGGTGAAGCAGTGCAGTCTGGTGTCTCAGTGTGCAGCCTCTGCCGCTGTTTGTTGGAGCGGCTTGTCGGTGAGCTCCGCTGGCTCGACGAGAGGTGAGCGGCCGTTCCGTTAGCCATGCGCTGGCTCAACGAGTTTAACTGTTGAAGTGAGTGGCCAGCTGGCCCTCTTCAGTCTTCGGTGTTAGCGGGCAGTGACTGGCTTGATCTGTTGCCGCCCACCTGCTGTCGCAAGATTTCTTTCAAGATTTCAAGTTCTTCGGTCGTCGCCGCTGTCAGTCGTGGCGGCCCGTGGCGACTGAAGTCACCGTTTCAAGTTGGTTGTCGCCGCCGTCAATCGTGGCGAACTTTGTGATTGCGATGATCGCCTCCGAGTGCGTCCGCCGTCGCCGTCGCTCGTGGCGACCGCTGTCGCAGCCGTCTTCTTCGTTGTCTTCAAGTTGCAGCCGCCGCTCCTCGGCCGCCGGCTTCGGCCGAGAGCTGCTGTGACGTCAGCAGTCACGTGACGCTGCTCGTCGCTCGGCCGGCTGTGCGTCAGCTGACCGCCGCGGCCGCCGGCTCCTGCGGCTCCTGACGGCCTGGCGGGCCGATGGATGGGCCGACGGCGAGGATCTCCATCGACAGACGACGTCGACGACAATAAGATAAGTGTATCGATTGCTTGTGTGATGGGTGTATCGTGCAGTGTATGTTTTTGTGGGTGTGTAGAATGATAGGTACTGGCTAAATTGGTAAAATGAATCTCGGGGAGCAGAGTGGATCTGGGGACGTGCGCCGCGGGGCGATCAGTGGGTTTTCGTTTCAGGCGCCAAAGTTCGCCGGGGAGAGTGGCTCAGCCTGTGACAGATTTTTGGCGGATCTGGACACTTTCTACACTTTTCACAACTTGGATGATGAGTTCAAGCTGCGCTTCCTGCCGCTGTGCTTGACCGGGTTCGCACGGGATGCTTTTGAGGCCCTCCCACGGGAGGAGAGGGACACGTTCAGCCGGGCTGCTAGTGCTCTCCGCCACTTGTTCATCAAACCGTGCGCGCTGGATGCTCATAGCCAGCTTCAGCAGTTAAAGTTTGACCCGTCGACCTCTCTTGACGCGTTTGTCATCCGACTGCGTGCTCTAGTGGCTGAAGCGTTCCCGGGGAGTGTGTGCGATCAGGTGCTCTTCCACTCTTTCCTCACGGCTCTGCCGAGAGAGTATAAGCAGCAGATAATTTCGACCGGTATCGAAACCTTCCCAAAAGCCGTAGAAAAAGTGGGCAATATCATTCGTAGTGAGCGCGTCTCAGTTCAGGATCGGGTCCCGGTGCGCCAGGTTAGCCAAGCTAGTGGGAATGAGATGCTGGAAAAAGTACTTCAGCGGCTGGAGCAGCTGGAGATTCAGGTCGCGCGGGCGGCTCAGCCCGCCGCTCGGGAGCGGGGACCGGGCCCGGGGCGAGCGGGGACGGCACGCGCACGGGACGGTCGGTCGGACGCGGGCCGGCCGGGCGGGGGCCGCCAGGGGTGCGGCCGGCGCGCATGTTTTGCCTGCGGCAGTGAGCAGCATCTGCGTGCGGCGTGTCCCCATCGGCGCGCACGGTGCTATACGTGCGGCCGAGACGGGCACATTTCCCGTGTCTGTGACCGGGGAAACGACGCCGGGGTCACGGTAAGTTGCAGCGCCAACCAGTGCCCCCAGTCCCAAAACCCGCCGCAGTGAGGCCGGAGAGGGCCAAGTGCGCTCCCGATGCTGCAGGTGAGGCGCTGAAGGTTGATGATGTGGGCTGTCAGACGGAGAGCTGCCAGCACATTTCTGCGTTCAATTGGCCCCTCAGTTTCATTCAGAGTGAGCAGGGTAAGGATGAGGTGCTGGCCGAGCTGGCACGGTTACTTGCGACCGGCTCGTGCCCCTCTCGCCACAGCGTCTCGAGCGCTGTGAGGCCGTGGCTGAGACACTGGTCCCGGCTACGCCTCCTCGACGGCGTGATTTTCAAGGTGTACCGAAGCCGTCCGCAGGCCCCTGAGGCGCTGCAGGTGGTGATTCCGTCTGAGCTTGTGGCAGGTGTGCTCACTTCTCTGCATGCAGGCCCGTGTGGAGGACACTTCGGTCATGAGAAGTTGTTTAAGCAGGCTCAGAGACGATTCTTTTGGCTGGGGATGTGTTCAGATGTGGAGAAGTTCTGCCAGCAGTGCGACCGCTGTGCAGGCCGGAGTTCTCCCAACCCGCCACCCCGAGCGTCTATGGGCGAGTTGTACGCAACTGAGCCCTGGGAGGTGGTGTCCATTGACTTTTTGACCGATCTTCCCACTACAGAGCGCGGCAACAGACACCTGCTGGTGGTCTGTGATCACTTCACCCGCTGGGTGGAGGTGTTCCCGCTTCCTGACATGCTGGCTGTGACGGTCGCGGAGACTCTGGCGTCACAAGTGTTTTCCCGCTTTGGGTGCCCCAAGCGTATTCACTCTGACTGTGCCGCTAATTTCAGAAGCCAGGTGATGTCGGAGCTGTGCCGAATCATGGGCATACAGAAAACGAGCACCACTGCTTTTCATCCACAGGGAAACAGCCGCTGCGAGCGGGTCAATCGGACCATCCTAGGGATGCTGGCGAAGTACCTGACGGATAATCACAGCGAGTGGGACCGTCACCTGCCGCTGCTGATGCTCGGTTACCGTGCCCAGATTCACAGGTCGTTGGGGTACAGTCCCTTCTACCAGCCGAACCTGCCCATTGACGCTGAGATTGACTCCCCTACCACAGCCCGTGCTCGGTCCGCCGCGGAGTATGTAGACGAACTGTGTAGCGGTCTCCGTAGCGCGTACCGAGAGGCCCTCAGCGTGTCTGATAGGAGGCACACTCAAAACAAGCGTTTGTATGAGCGGAAAATGAATGAGTTTCATTACAGTGTGGGTGATCGGGCCATGCTGTTTCGTGGTGTTGCCAAGCGTGGTGAATATCACAAGTTCATGAGGCCCTGGAAACCCGTGGTAATTGTCGCCAAGCGAGGGGATCTTAACTATCGTGTCAGACTGGAGGACGGGAAAATGTTGTGTGTGCACCACAATAGGTTAAAGCCATGTACCGTGCCCTCTGGTAACACGACAGAGCCAGATCCAGCCGCCAGAGGCGCGGCAGACCGGGTAAGTGGCCGCTCAGACTCTGCTGAGCAGGCCGGTCAGTCGGCGAGTGCGACACGGGCTGAGACCGCTGGGTCACCACCTGTCGCGGGGACGAGTCTCTGTGCTGTCCCAGGGAGCGCAACTGAAGTGCCGATGCGTTCTGCAGCTGAGCCTCGAGCCGAGGCTGCCGTTTCACAGGGTGCAGAGCAGTCGGTTGGTCTCCGTGTGACCTTCCGGCCGATACCGCTGCCTCGCAGTGCGGTACCCCCGGTGGCTCCGAGACGCTCTACGCGTGAGCGTCGGCCCCCTGACCGATATGTAGCCGTAATGTAAGACACCTGATCGCAACACTGCCCAGCCGCAGCTGCCTTTAGCGCGCTTTATCCTGTGCTTTGACTGGCCAGCAGAGCCTAGATGGACGCGATCTGAACGCGTCGAGCGACTAGCGCGTGGCGTAAGTGGCGGAAAGTACGGCAGTGGGTCTCATCTTATCCTTACCGGCTGATGTGTGTCCTGTCTCGTGGCCCGATGACCCGAGCTGACCTTTTATGTCGCTTGTATATATCGCGTTGTTGGCGTCACTCGTTGTGACGCATTTTTATTCTGGTTCCCAGGGGACGCACGCTGGAGCCGGCGCGCCTCATGCGGCTGGCGCCTCTTTGTAAGCGGGGAGGAGTGTAGGAGGGTTCCTTCTCCTGTGCCGCCGCCTATTGCTCGGGCGGCTATATGTTGGCAATGAATGAACTGCCGCCAATGAATGGACTGCCGCTCCGAGACCGACTGAGTCAGAGTCGGAAGTGGAACTCTGCCGCTGCGAGCGCCCGCGGCTACAGCTCACGCGCCTTGGGCTATTTGCCGTGCTCTGCGGCGACGGCTGTGGCAGTGATGGCGGCTGCTGATTGGCTGGCGCTGCGACGCCAGGGCAGCCGCCGATTGGGTTTTCTCCTGGAACCTTCTCGGACGAAAGGTCGTCTGAAGGTCATTGTGATTGACGGGGGGATTCGGTCTGGAGCGGGGGGCTAGGGTTGGATTGGGAACTTGGACTTGAACTGAGCTTTGACTTTGGTTTCGAACTTGCCAATATACTTTGACTATGCTTTTCACGGCCATGTCTACAGTACCATCCACAGGACCCACTCACACTGGAACAGAACAGAACACTAGTTATCCTCTAGCATGCAATGCTTTTGATCACGATGGCAAAAATGCGTACTCGTTGTTGTTATAACATACATAAGCCGAACGTGATTTCGGATCGACTTATCTGCAAGGACTTTTGTGTAGAGTCCCATGATGAACACTTCTTTTTAGATAAGAATGCTCTTGCTATGTATGGGAGGAAATAAAGAGGTGAGGAAAATCGACTGCCTTCCATTAATGGAAATGGCCAAGTGATGTGATGAGTTGGGGTGACAACCAATATTGTATTGTATTTGATTGACAAAGGCAGACAACTCCACAATGCACACGTCATACGCAATCAGATCACCGACAATAACAGCCTCTCAGAACCCCATCAGAAGTGCGCCTTTCCTGCTCTCTTAAAACTGTCCGGGTCGAGATCAGGCATGTGCATGGATCTGAAAAAATAGATCTGGGATCTGATCCCACGGATCCTGATCTCGGATCCGACGGGATCATAGATCCAGCTCTCTAATTTATCGAGAGATCCGTAGGGATCACAGATCCGAGTCTCATTTTTTGCTTGAGATCCAGTGAGATCATGAGTCCTCACTTATTTTTTGCCAACACAGAAATGCCCACAAACACTTGTTGCAACTCACAAACGTTCTGTTTTAGTGATTGTATGTGCTCTTACGTCATAATCCATAGTTTTGTGGCACTTATTGACAAAGAAACTCTTTAAAATATGGTTTCAAATGTTGTGCATAGTGGGATCCACTCAGATCATAGATCCATGTTCTTGGTTTATCGTTAGATCGTAAGAGATCATAGATCCAAGATGAATATTTCACACCGGATCCGATGGGATCATAGATCCATCGCTCCGATCCATGCACATGTCTGGTCGAGATCTAATATTCGATTTAGAGGGCGACTGAATAACATACTCGTAGGCCAAAGGCAACCAGCGGATAGGCTTACGAGACAAATAGTAAGAATAACCTCATTCCCATCGGCACTTGTAAAGAAGACCACTGAATGTGGGGATGCCAACGCAACGCAGCTGGAAGCTATACAAAAATAAGAGTAAAGGAGTGAGTTATTATTCAATGCTTAACATCTTTAGTCTAAAACTATTTATGGGCAACACACTCTAGCAACATTTCCTGCAAGTCACAATGAGGGTCAGAGATTGTAGCTCAAAAGGGTGTTAGACACCCATAGAAAGAAAAAGAAAATCCACGGGGTCTGACGCAACAGAAGCTCTATATAAAAGTACTTAATCCCATGCTAAGGAATCCCATCACTCACACATACATAATGAAACCCATGAAAAATATACGAGTGGCTAGATCATCAAATAACAAACGGTTGGCCGTGAGTTAGCCCGGGCCCTGGCAACACGCGGAAGCTCAGATCGTTAATAACATATCCATCTTCCACACAACACCCACATGAAACACTTAACTGGCTAGCTGTCGGCTTCCAGGAGCCTGGCAGCTTCCGGTGTGTGGGTGGACCAATATGGTCGACCGTTACTTAACCGCAACGAGAAAATTACCGGCAACATGAGCAGTGAGCATCGTAAATATGCATAACAAACGAAGCACTGTACGAAGTGTACAAGGAAATCCTTTCGTATAACATAATTAACTGCTTATTTATCATAACAAATGAGTATCAATGAATTTATTTCTACGTAGTATCAACAACTTGCGGGGCAATTAATTTTACAATGACTGCTATTTTATAAATGGATTGGCGTACACACGTTAGACATTCGAGGAAACATTGTTAAAACCTTACTGGACGTCCCTGAAGTGCTCGTAGATGGCATTTGTTAGGGATCGCCAGTCGGATCGCTCCAGAGGTATCTGGTTCTCCAGCTTTTCCCGTATGAAACCGGGAAGGATGGTCCTGTCCAGCTCAGCAGGTGCTCTGGGGATTAAAAAGAATGGCACTGTTGACACTGCCGCATGGGGTGTGAATGTTTACTGTATGCCTGGCTTGTTCAAATACACTAGCCGGAGGGGCGTGGTTTAAACGAAGCTTAGGTACACTGGTCACTGGTGTAAGCAAAGTGACCAGTCAAAAATGTTCACCAGTTTGCACTCAGCCAACATTTTGGGAAGGTCTTGTTCGGATGTCGGCTAATAGTTTCGGTTTAGAAAATTATTTGTATCGTTAACCCTAATTGTAAGCATTTATTGTGAACTACATCAAACATTTGCCCAATGCCCATATCGAGCACTAAGCAAGCAACACAGCATTGAAGTACTTGGCACGCGATTCCTTACCCAGAGTAGGGCACACGTCGTGGTCTTCCCCTGTGACTTAGCCTCCAACCTCGCCCCTGAGGAGGAAAAGGAGCTCATCCGAACGAAGTCCGAAAAAAACATAATTACCTGATGATAAATCACTTCCCATCAAGATTATGAACAAAAACATGATAAAATGACGAAGCAACGATGCAAAAAACAATTTTCATTTAGAACTGAAAGAACTGTCAACGGTAAAAATGATGTGTTTCTGAGCCTCGTTTCGCTCTATGCACCTAAGATGCATTTAATTGCTATTCATTTTCATTTCATCCACCACTGCTACATAAGTAAACACCGGCCAGAAAAATACATGAAAATGGAAGAAGAGGTGCTGAGAGGTTGTAGAGGCAAATGTCTAGCACGGGTCACTTTATGGTCATTGAAATGTTCTGACATGTACCGAGAGATACGAAGCTAAAAGGAGCATCCATATGCATTATGCATGCTGACTCGACACAACATTATACGATAAAATATTGCAAAATGAAGTGCGTACCTATATAAAAGAGCAAACACTTACAGGTGGACGGTTGGTCGCATCTCGACGGGCAGTCCAGACCTCTCCAGCTCGGCCTGGAAACATAGCGTGTTCTTCAGCACGTACCCAATGAAACGAAAACCAGGGACTCACCATTAATTAAGAATATAAGTGCATGAGTGTCAAACAACACAAACGTTTCAGCACAAACAACACAGACATTTGATTACAACTGATATTTCTTTATGCTGTAAGCTAGGACAAGAATGAAAAACGAAACGAAAAACGAAAGACAGCGAAAATGATGCACGGTAACGTTGAAATCGGTACGTACTGGATTAATCTTAGTCCATTCAGAGCCTGAGTCGATGGTATCCGAGCTCCGCTGCTACTGCACGTGCTTTTGGTTCTACGCCGCTGTGTAGACTCGGTCGAAACACGGTATATAAGCTCAGAAAACGTGTATTTCGGCAAATCAAAGACGGGGTCAAGATATTATAATCCAAAAGACAGAGTCAAGGAAACACACAACAAAAACGCCCTGTCTCCCTTCCCCACGACGGTAAACACGCGTCGGTAAAAAACGTTCACTTCCAAAGTCTCAACACGTCCCAATGAAACACGTCTCAAACTCTCAGAGCGCTAGCTTTCTGCTTTTCCTCCAACAGCGTCGTTTTTCGTTCATTCTGGCGTCTCTCCAGTGGCGTCATCCTCGTCAGCGGCAGAGGCCTGCTCCACGTGTCCAATCTTCTTCTTGCGGGACGGCAGTTCTCCACTGGTGCGATCCCGGGACCCAGAGAGCCACTTGGACATCCTGCGGCTAACATCCGCCCTTGAGGCACCCCAGGCAGTGTGAAGGACGTCTGAAAACACAGAGCAATAAGTATGATGTTTAATTATATGACCCAAGCTATGTTCAACACGTATCGTGTTTGTTTGGGTTTTAGGGGTTGTTAAGTGTTAACAGTGGGGCCGTTATGGGCCTGTTTATAAGATAGCCAAAAATAAAAAATAAAACGCTGTTGCCGGTACAACAACTTCAGTGCGCTGGAGACAAATCAAATTTCATAAAAGAGGTTAAAGGGACTATCCCACCTTTAACATGGGGTTTGAGTTGAGATAGCCAAGTTTGCGGCGAGGTTCAGAAACCACTATCTATCTAGGCTGCAACCCCCGCGGCCTCTTGGTGTTGAAGAAATTCGTTCCCTTCATTTGAAAATGGGCCTTGTACAAGGCCCTATCTTCAACATGGAGCGACCGTTAGTGTGACGTCACCTCGTTTAGTCATTCTGATTTAAATGGGTTTGTTCGTTGAAAAAGCGCTTAAAACTTGGTCTGAACTTTGTTGTGGTGCCTACAGAGTAAAAAGAATCAGCTTTATGACAGTAATGTGGCCTGGGGAAGGAGGTAATTTTGGGCTGTGACGTCACATATTTGAAAGTTTGTGTTTGGAATATGGGAAGCCTAAGATGTTTAATGAAAAATAAATGCCAGAACCGTGTTCCTGGTCATCCAATCTATAAAGTCGGGCACAATTTAACTGGTTTTAACAACATTTTAGAAGGTGGGATAGTCCCTTTAAGTACTTCGACGTATGCACATTACCCTGTCAATGGCCCTTAAATAGTCTCGTATGAGATGAGTAGACTAGCCATTCTTTCTTACTCGTTTAACCCGCGCACCGACGGGGGGGGCGGATATCCGCCCCCCCCCCCCCTGAGGTTTTTCGCGAATAGCGGGAAAACCGCGGCGCGTAGCGCCGCGAAATTTGGTATGACTATTCCCTTATCAATTTTACACATGGTGTGCAAGTTTGAACCTCCTACCTTTCAAGGTCAGGTCACCAGGTCACTTTGCATGACCCAACCTCAAGTCACTTTTTTGCAACTTTGTCACCGTGCCAGAGCTACAGTAGATGTCGGAGGCCTTTGAAAGTCGCAGGATGTTATTAGGTCATTAGTAGCTACAATTTGTATATCTCGGAATTTTGATATCGGTGACCTAAGGTCAGGTCAATTTCGCGACCTCCCCATTATAAGTCAATGGGGGAAAAATCAACTCCCTGTTTTTACCACTAAAACGGGTCGGAATGGCCCCATATACCATACATGACTTCATATACGATCAACCTTCACTACCTTGAGGTCTGTTTTGCTGTTGGGCAGCTGTGAGGTCATGTGACGTCATCAAAGGTCACCAAAGGTTTTTGGCCAATAACTCCGTACAGGAACAAGATACAGACGCGTGGATGGTCTCATTGTGTTCAGCTCGTCAAGACGCATCGAATGATATACATGATGACCTCGAGGTCACGTGACCTGAGGTCAACCTTTGACCTTGACCTTTCGAGGTCAACATATATATCATTCGATGCGGATTGACGAGAGGATCACGATGATGCCCGTAGTTTGTTCCTATCTTGACTAATTCGAAAGTTATTCGAGAAAAACTCTCTCCATATTTAGCGCCGCCATTTTGACTTTTTCGACCCCTGTGACGTCATCTTTGACCTGACCTGAAAATGACCTTTGTAAAAATTGTAGATCTTGACCGTGCGTATCCGATGCCGTTTACCGCTTGTCGCTATCTTGCTTCGTTCTCGAGATCTCAGGGGGGGGCGGTCATCCGCCCCCCCCCCCCCCCGTCGGTACTAAGTTGGCGCAGACCCCCGTCGGTGCGCGGGTTAATAAAAATAACATTTGGGTACAACTTGTTCGTCAACAAATTATTTGCATTAGCTAACTAAAAAAATATAATACACAAGAACTAGTTTGTTTTTACAAAACCCGTTTGGCTCCAAGTCCGTTTTTCGACTTAGCACGCGTTTTAGTCAGCGAAAAGGGCAAAAACTGAAAGCAAGAAAATCGAGCGTGTCTTTATTTTAAAATGTGAAATATTCCCGATAGGCAGTGCGTTTTAGAACTAGATATTAGAACGGTGATGATGTCATGCTGTCGAACTTTCGTCGCAATGTAATGTAGGAACTATCATGGACAGAACCGCTCATTTGATTCTTATCTTGGTAACAGTGAAAAACAATGTTTTCCTAAAATTCGGTGACACTTTGTGTCATCGTAGGGACATTGGGTGCCAGCTGCCACAAGTGATGTCTCATGTCATCTCAGTAATCTCATTTTGGCAGACACATTTTCCACGTATTTACCGAGCACAATTTGAAGTTGAATATATCAGCCTTGATATTAGCGGTAAGAAATTCTTGTCCAGATACTAAAGTTGCCAAAACTCACGCGAGACCTTTGATAATGAACTTGGTCCAAACCGATTTTGAAAAAAACGAAGTATATACTTTGCTTGTTTTTCAAAAGGCCTTTGGCTCCAAGTATGTTTTCCGAACAAACACGTGTTTAACCTGCGAAAACGCTGCCAAAACTCACGTGACAACTTCGACAATGAACTTGGAGGATGGAGCCAAAGACCTTTTGAAGAAAAAAAACTTAAGTCAACCGCATGTAGCGCAACCACAGACTAACCTGAAATCACATCGAAAACGTGCGTGTTGCCCACACCCATTTTTTGATTTTTTCCTTTCAGGGATAGGTGTTTTGAGAGCTCTGGGCCGAAAACCATCGACATTATCCGAATAACACTGTGTCTGAAGTCCACAGAACACCAGCGTGTGAGCTCTTCCTTCTGTAAACAAGACAGACCGTCAAAACCTAGACTACGGAGTGAAGGCTTCCCCACACTGGACCTCGCGTGCGGGCTGCGAGTCCGCAGTTTCACGGATTTCTTCAAAGCTAAAGAATACACTATAGGCTTAGTGACCCAGACTGCCATCTAGCGAGAGAGTCTGCGAACTTCTGAGTTGCAAGTCATCTCGCGCCGCATTTCAAACGTTGACTTTGAGTCAACTTTCGCTTGTCCTCGCTGGTCCTTGCTGCGTGCGATTTTTGATGTGTTCTGTTGATGTCGACTGTTGGTTCGGTGTGCCGTTATTGAGATAATAAGTAGTTTTCTGAAGGCGTATCGGCTTCACAGCATTCATGAAGTGAGTGTAAGAGACTGGTGTTCTCACTCCATGAATGAGTATGCCTGCAAACCCGCAGACTCGCAACCCGCATGCGAGGTCCAGTGCGGGGCAGCCTTAAATCTGCAGACGAAATTCGATGCTCCAAAAATAGAAAATCACCATTTATCTGTCAATTCTCGCCTGCAAAAGTCATCTCAACTTATTTCTCGGTTCGATAAAGAAAAGCCGTTACTACATACACAAATGTGATCAAATCACACATTCATCTTTTATCTTCAAATCAAAAGCTTACAAATGCACGATTTCAGATCTCATAAAGGAAACATCACCTCACTTAAGCTTCCAGCCATGACATGCCCATAAACACTCAAGTATGCCCTCAATCAATACGCACCATGGCATCTTGAGCCTCAGTGCTACGACCAAGGAGTTCATCCAGCTGCTGGAAGTCTTCTGTCGTTTTCAGACGCCGGAAACCGAGCTGTGCCGACGATCCAGAACGAGAGTCTCCCTGTTGAGCCAGCTGCTCCCAGATATCTTGCTGAATCCTCTCTATGAAATCCACCTTGGCCAAAATCATGGCCAGCATCTCCTCCAGTTTGTGATATTCTGTCGATCAAATGAAACTGCTTTGATAAGAATTCGCATTTTAAAACACGTTCGCCAAAGTGCACGTAGTGATTGGAGTATCGCGTTTATCGCAAATCGACCATTTGAGTATCCGAATGAAATAAATGAACACGCAAGAAACAAAAGATGAACAAAATCGGTTGGTGTTCGTTCAGCGAAACACAGGTCCCACTGGAAGTGGGACCTGTGCTTCCATGTGTAACCCTAATATTTCCCGCATTCTCCACAAAATTCAGAAACTCAAACGCATCTGCTTATTAAAGGGACTATCCCACCTTCAAAAAAGTCCCGCTTAGGATTCGGAAATGTTACTCATGATATTGTGACGAATTCTGCAAGTTTTTACGCGTTTTCATCGTATACTTTTTTAGATATTGCGACTTTTATATTTCATCGTGACGTCATTTAGATCGGATCTGTGACGTAATGAAGGATTTACTTCATGTCAGTGGGGGGGGGGGGGAATTTGGCAGCAAATATAGGTATTTGCTCTCAAATATGACTCGGCTCATACAATAACAAAAGTGTCTCTGATTGGCTTATTCGTAAATCAAGTGATACTTCACTTGAACAGGCGTTCAAAAGGCAAATGACGTCATCAGTTTACCGTTAATGGTTAAGAGATTGGGCCTTGCGCAGGGCTCATTTTCAAATGAAGGGAACGAATTTCTTCAACACGAGGCCGCGGGGGTTGCAACCAAGATAGATAGTGGTTTCTGGACCTCGCCGCAAACTTGGCTATCTCAACTCAAACCTAATGTAAAAGTGGGATAGTCCCTTTAATGACCAGCCAATTACACATAGCGGAGAGCGGAGAGGGCACCGGGGCACCGTACCGGTACCCCCTTTGATTTTGGCATTTTAACATTAGTCCTATGGGCGTTGCGTGGAAAGAATGGGACCAAGTCTGCAGTGCCCCCCCCCCCCCCTAATTGAGGGTGTTCCGCCGCTACTGCAATTACACATGAAGGCACACAGGTCATCGTAGGCCGGGCGCGGCGGCCGAGCCGATACTGAAACAGGGCGGGCGGTAGTTGACTAAGAACATCGGCTCCTGCAAATTTTGAACAAACATGCAGTTAGATTTTATGTTTCCCTTGTGTAAAGTTAAATCCCACTTCATCTCACAAAATCGGAATCGAACTCGAACAATCTGTTGTTTCATTACCTAAGCTCTTGGACCATGAAAGGCAAACGAGTCTGTGTGTATAGTTATGAACGCGGCTTCGTGCGGGTTACACCAAGTATGTGCGTGTTCGGCGTTCGCGTTGTGTATTTCGTTTCGTAAGTGTGTGTGTGTTTTCTTGTGTAGGTATTTCTTGTGTTATCTTCAACCAGCTCGGACTCGGAGTGTAATCGCCACGCCGATTGTGGATTGCTCTTGATCGTCAATACATACATGCATACATACATACATACATACATACATACATACATACAAGCTTCGCTGCTATATATATAATATATTCCGGTATCACCTCAGGAGACTATTCATTAAACACTTCGGAAACCTTAAAGGGACTATCCCACCTTTAACATGGGGTTTGAGTTGAGATAGCCAAGTTTGCGGCGAGGTTCAGAAACCACTATCTATCTAGGTTGCAACCCCCGCGGCCTCTTGGTGTTGAAGAAATTCGTTCCCTTCATTTGAAAATGGGCCTTGTACAAGGCCCTATCTTCAACATGGAGCGACCGTTAGTGTGACGTCACCTCGTTTAGTCATTCTGATTTAAATGGGTTTGCTCGTTGAAAAATCGCTTAAAACTTGGTCTGAACTTTGTTGTGGTGCCTACAGAGTAAAAAGAATCAGCTTTATGACAGTAATGTGGCCTGGGGAAGGAGGTAATTTTGGACTGTGACGTCACATATTTGAAAGTTTGTGTTTGGAATATGGGAAACCTAAGATGTTTTATGAAAAATAAATGCCAGAACCGTGTTCCTGGTCATCCAATCTATAAAGTCGGGCACAATTTAACTGGTTTTAACAACATTTTAGAAGGTGGGATAGTCCCTTTAATTGGTAAAGAAAATACAAAAAAGTTCACACTGACCGTTTTTTAGGGGACTTACAATAATTTGGCTAGCCCGGCCGGGCCCGGGGGTAATCCCAACCACCGCAGCCCGGGGGGGGGCATTTCCCCCCTGTCAAACTCCGTAAATAAGGGAGCTACGGAAACAAAAGCGATACCAAACGAGAAGTCCTAACGATACGATTCTAAAGCACCTACAATTTTTGACCTCAAGTCAATTTTCAAGGTCAGAGGTCAAGGTCAAGGGCAAAAACCGGCACATGTGTAGTTATCTCAAAGTAAGCGTTCTAGAGGACGGCAGGATGCATAAAACCGGAAAAATTGGGTGTCAAACGAAAGAAGAGAATCTGAGGATTCCGAAAATGTGCTCAAAATAAAAATCAAGGTCAAGGTCATGCTCAAAATTGACCTCAAACTTTGCACTTTTTCGTACATCTTGCGTGTTAACTTCCAAGATGTTTTGAAATGTTTTGAGGCTTATGAGGTCCCTATTTGTGGTTCATCTTATGATACAAGGCTGCTCAAAGGTCAAGGTCACAGAAGAGTATCCTTGCTATAGGCTATTTCACTAATTCAAGTTAGCAATAATAAATAAGACAATTTTGCCATCCGGAGGCTCTAAATGAAGGCTTAGAGGAAAATAGATGCCAGATTCGTGATCGGGTACGAATCCATCATAAACGACCTTTCATGTGTCAAGGTCAACCAAAGGTCATTCGAGGTCACATGAGGTCAACATAAAACTTGACCTTTTCCAAACAAAATATATATCATTCGAGGCGGCTTGACAAGGCGAATGCGATGGTACCACTGCCGTAGCTCTAGGACCTTTTTTATCGAAGTTATTTGCGAAAAACTAAAACCACATTTCAGGGTCGTTGACCTGACCTGTGACCTCAAGTCACCAAAACTATTCTTCTATTTTTCTCTAGGTCAAACGCTACACAACCGTGCTCGTAATTTGTCTTTATCTCTAAAACTCTATTTTTAGTAGCTATTTGAAGTTCGCGTCTGTGACGCCGAAGTTTACCATGCAGGGGTCTAGAGAAATCGACGCTGTGACGTCATCAAGGGGGCTTGGTCCAAATTTTTTACTTCAGAAGATGTCAAATTGATGGGAGAAAAGGTACTGAAAGTTTCGCTTTCCTATCCCTAAGCGTTCGGGAGCTATCGTAAATATTCGCCAGGGGGGGGGGCGAAAAACGCCCCCCCCGGGCCCGCGAGGATTAATTAGGAATTTATTTGCTTTAAAAAATCCGATATTGCGGAATCGCCCGTGGCCCCTCATGAGGACGTTTTATACCAGTGTGTGCTGCTACGCCACGTGCTTTTGGTTCTACATCGCTGTGTGGGCTTGGTCGAAACACGATATATAAGCTCAGAAAAGTGTATTTCGGGCGTATCAAGAAGACAATCAAGAGATTTAAATCCAAAAGACCGCGTCACGAGAAGATACAAGATCAAAAGCGCACCCTGTCCCTTCTACCACTACCACAAACACCGTGTCGCTAAAACACGCCCATTTTCAAAAAGTCTCAGCACGTCCCAATGAAACACGTGTAAACATGTCTCAAAATCTCAGAACGGTGGCTTTCCCTCCGCCAGCTTTCTCTTCGTTCAATCTGCCGTCGCTCCCGCGTCGTCTTCACCAGTATCAGCGGCCTGTTCCGTCGGTACCGTCTTCTTCTTGCGGGACGGCAGTACTCCACTAGTGCGATCCCGGGACCCAGAGAGCCACGAGGACATCCTGCGGCTAACATCCGCTCTTGAGGCACCCCAGGCTGTGTGAAGGACGTCTGAAAACACAGAGCAATAGGTACGTTGTCTAAGAAGATGGCCCAGGCCCATGGCCCACACCATGTGTAAAACGTATCGTTTGTTGGGGGAGCGCTAGCAGCGGGGCAGTTGTGTCCATTTATGAAATAGCTGAAAATAAATAACACAGCGGTGCAACAACTATAGCGCGCTAGACATTAGACAAATACATTTCACAAAAAGTTATTTTCGCGTGCATTACCCATATAATCCATTGCCCATAAATTATTAAGACTCGTTTGGTCTGAGAAGACTTCTTAGTTACAACTTCGCTCTACCTCGTCTAAGGATAATAAAATTTCAGTACAACTTACGTCAACAAATACAGGGCACTTGACAATAAGCATGATAACATAAGTCCTCATGATAACAAAAATCCCCGCGCATAACATAATCGATGAAATGTAGCGCAACCACTGACTTACCTGAAATGACATCGAAAATGTGTGTATCGCCCACACCCATCTTTTGATTTTTTCCTGTCAGGGATAGGTGTCTTGCCAGCTCTGGGCCGAAAACGATGGGCATTATCTGAAGCACACTGTGTCTGAAGTTCACAGAACACCAGCGTGTGAGCTCCTCCTTCTGTAAACACGACAGAGCATTAAACCCTGGACTACGGAGTAGGCCTGCGGACGAAATGCGACGCTCCAAAAACCGAAACTATAGTTCAAATGACAGATCAGATCAAATCAAATGAATATTTTTTATAGTCATTTGATCTGTCAACCCACGCTTGCAAATGTCATTTGGACTTATTTCCTGTTTCGATCAAGCAGTGCTCTTATTACAAGCAATGTGACACAATTACACTTGAATCCTCATATTTAAGCCAAAAGGTCAGGAATGCAAGACTCTCAATCAATACGCACCATGGCATCTTTGGCCTTAGTGCTACGAGCGAGGAGTTCATTCAGCTTCTGGAAGTCTTCTGTCGTTTTCAGACGCCGGAAGCCCGGCTGTGCCGACGATCCAGAACGAGAGTCTCCCTGTTGAGCCAGCTGCTCCCAGATATCTTGCTGAATCCTCTCTATGAAATCCAGCTTGGCCAAAATCATGGCCAGCATCTCCTCCAGTTTGTGATATTCTGTCGATCAAATGAAACAGCTTTGATAAGAATTCACATTTTAAAGCACGCTCGCCCAAGTGCACAATGCACATAGTGATTTATGTGTCGGGTTTATGGGAAATGGGTCATTCGTGTATCCGAATGAAATAAATGAGCATGTAAGAAAAAAGAAAAACAATACTGGATGAAGTTGAGCGAGACTGTGCATCAGTAAGACCTGGAGTTGGGGGATGTGCTTGCAAGTGCAAAATTTCAAACAACTCAACTGTGTGTGCAGATCACAGTCTATTCGTTCCCCACCCGTGGAACTGGACTTGCATTGAGCGACATCGGTTCAATCGCATCCTAAATATAAAAGCAGGTCCTTGAAATGAATACGTGCAACAGCATGCCCACTAGGAGACGGGGCAGTGCAGCATAGAGCGAGTGCCTAACCATATGATATATGTACCGGCGTAATCGTCATTGGCTGCCTAGTGATTGCAAACAGAAGGAAATTGGGAAGGTCGCTTTGTTTTTGCTAATTGTCGCTTTACTGTAACAATTGTTCAATTTTAGCAGAGCATCAGTCCATACCGGAGTAAAGAAAATCATTTTCAAGTACCGTTTGTATATGAACAACTCATTTTAACATGAACTTGAACATGAACAATCATAAAAGTCTAGAGTCATGTTCAACTTCTTGCAGTGAACAGGAGGTGAACTTGCCAGGGTACCTAATGTAATACCTAATGTCGTAATAGAACCACCACTCGTGCGTGGTGGTTCTATTAGGTATGTTTGATATGCGCTCCGTTTCGTCACTGATGTTATAAACGGGGGAAGGAACACGGGGAGCACTGACAAGACAGTCCTTTTCGCCGAAATATTATGTCATTCATATTAGTCCTGTTGTCGGTTCTGCTGGAACGGTTCAATTAGTGTCATCAAGAAAAAAACTTGATCACCTAGTTTAGAGAAAGATCACACATCACATAAAGAAGCATTTCTATTAACATAAAACACTAAAAACGTTGAAACATGAAAACATTCAGAAGCAAGTTGTCACAAAAGGATCCCTGACCCCAACGGAAAAGAAAAAAAGACAACAGCTCCTTAAGTCCCTAGCTTCTTGACCAGTCAGCCAAGTTATTGAATGTCAACTACATTCTCCACATTCCCTTCACGGCTTCAAAGCACACCGCTTACACCAAACACAGCGAGAACTAAGAACACCAACTACGCCTAGTCACACACAACTCAGGGCATCACACGCAAACTTTGTGTCGCAATCCAAGTACCGTAAGGTAGGGCTATTTAAGACAGTGGGACTATTTGACAGTAACTAAAATTGTTATAAAATAAAAACCGTTTGAAATGTACGCTTAATTTTTGCTCAGGCGATTTACTGCTCGATTACACACCTTCCTGAGCAAAAATATCGCATGAAAATCAAACGATCTTCATTTTATAGCGATTTTAATTACTGTCTCAAATAGCCCCACTGTCTCAAATAGCCCCACTTTACGGTACTCCTCACTGTCTACGGAGGACACAGGAACAGTCTACTCTCTCGCATTGAAACGTGAACGATCGACCTCTACGAAGCTTCATCGAGGACGTCCACATCATCTGCCGTTGACAGTTCTTCAGAACCATGATCTGAGACTTGGTCTATGTCGGGAATTTGGGGCGCTTTGTTCGTCGTGACATCACTTCCCTTCGCGCCAGTGCTCCCGTCACTCTGTTGCTCCAGTGATGTGATATTGGGGTCGTTCGACGCCTCAGTCGCATTCTCGCCACTGTTTCGCCGCGCAGCAGAGGACCCTGGCGAGCCATCTAGACCAGAAAGGCCATGCCGCCTCTCATTTTTGTTTGTAGATATTCGGCGGCTGTTTTTGAACTTGTTCTTCAGACGACGAGCAACAAGACCCTGGGAAGCAAGAGGTGAAATTTCGTTCAAAATGAACATATACTGAAAATATTTTAAACATTTAACAGAAAAAATCGAAATGAGTGAAAGCGCAGGGGGTAGGAGAGGAAGAGAGAAACAGAGTAGAGAGTTCAGGACAGCACCATGACTTAAGGCCGCCCCACACTGGACCTCGCATGCTGGTTGCGAGTTTGCGGGTTTTGAGTTTGCGGGCATAATACTAATTCACAGAGTGATTAGACCGTTCACGTATGGTAACTTCATGAATGCAGTGAAGCCGGTACACCTTCAGAAAAATACATATAGTCGCAATACCAGCGCAACGAATCAAAATTCGACTCCAACGAAAAACCCGCAAACCTCGCAGAACTCGCAGACCTCGCAGCGAGGAAAATCGAAAGTTGACTCAAAATCAACTTTTGAAATGCGATGCAAGGTCGCTCGCAAGCTAAAAACATGCAGACTCGCTTGTTAGATGGTAGTGTGGGTCACTCAGCTTAGATTGTATTATATGATCTTAAAAAAACCCGAAAACCCGAAAATTCGCAGCCCGCATGCGAGTTCCAGTGTGGGGCGGCCTTTAGGTAAGTTGCTGCATAGCCGATCCCAGATTAATTGTCGATGTTGTGCCAGCAAGGGCGCAAATAAAAGCGACAAAAAAAAATACTTATTTTATATAAAAAGGAAGCTGACAAGACAAATAAAGGCTTGCATAATTACAATATATAATTGGATTGCCTTTTTAGCATTGTAGCAAATAAAGGCATTGGACATAACAAAAACGAGTCAAAGGATAATGCGTTAAATGCCTTGCAAAGGGCAAAGACCTCGTGCTTACCATCGCATCGCGTCTGTTCAAGTGAGAGAACACAAACGGGAACTGGTCGATGATGGACTGAGCCATGCCCAGATACCAGTAGCGAGTTTGGCGAATGCTGCAAAAACGGAAATAGGATGTCAGCGTTGTGCGAAAATCAGGAACGTACAGGTCTCGCGGGTTTTAGCGGTAGGTTTTGCACCTAGAAAATTTAGTGTACTTCAGGCTATATCTTCGTCGTCTTAAGCTTTTAAGTGTTGAAGATGCGAGCGACTTGTTGGGTAACAAGCCGGCCATGATCGTGTAAAATGGCTTCATCGTAGATCGATTAGTTTCTGAGATATAACCGGAAATGTAAAAGTGCAAAACCTACCGCTTAATCTCGCGAGACCTGTACCTATATCTACTCAATCAGTAGACACACACTGTTACGCTGTAGTATACTGTTCCGAAGGAAAGAGATAACTGCCATCGAATACCCATCTCTAAGCAGATAAAGAAGTTCAAGTATTTCAAATGCTCGTATCGTATTCAGGATTCTAGTCAACTTCGACGCACGGTCGTTTTAGACCACAAAACATGGTTGTGATATTAAAAATTGTCTTTGGTGTAACTGACACATATACGAGAATGCATACGTACTAGTGATCGTAGGGCAAATACCGCTGGTAAATACAATGCATCATCTCTCGCCATTCGTGTTTTGACAAGGGCTCTCGTCTGGCCAGCGTTGCGCGGACGTGGGAGGAGAGAATTTGCACATCCAGCTCAGGTGTCCTGAAAACGAACACAAAAGTGAATCGAGGCTCAGTCATGAGGAAGCACATGTTGGCAAGCGAAAAAATCGCTACATGTTTATGTAAACTGCGTCAAATAAGAACCCACACCTATGAACAGTAGACCAAAATGTGGAGGAGCAGCGAGAGTCTGCTTACATGACCTCGTCCTTGGTTAGTGGAGGAAGTGGACGACCCTCTTCCTCCGGCGCCAAATTGAGAAACTCTAGGTTGTTCTTTTCGACGTCTGAGCTGTAGGGCACAACACATGACAGTAGATGAAGTATGAGAATGTGAACAAGCGTCTTACTGACAAAAGACAATGAAGTTTTGTTCGTTTTGCGATGAATCAAGCATCCCTGAAAGGTGTAAAAAAAAAAATACAGCGTCCCGCTCCATTCTATATGTTTAATAAAATATATAAGCCTGACGGCTCAAGCAGAGGCACTGAATACATAATTTGAAAGGGCATAATCACTTCGAAAGCGGTTTTATCAATGAAAATACTCAGTATTGAGAAAATAAATCCATCCGAAAAACCATGAGAGCAGTGTTCTCGAATATATTAGAGGTCTATAAATAGCATGCACCTATGGGAGCTGCGCTTTAAATACCTGCTTTATTATGATTGCCAGACAATAGATGTAGACAAACACAGAAAAACATTGCACACCATAGATAAAGCTTCACTCACCGAAAGTTTTTGAACCGCGCCGGCCACGCAGATCTCCTCGGCGATTCGTCGAAATCGATCACCGCCTGTTAGAGGCAAACATTAATAAACAAAATAGTGGCTGAAAGCCACGAAACGAAACACATTTCATCGCAGGCATAACATTTCCCAGTGATGTGTCTAAGGATCCCTTAAAATACATACCATATCTCTTCCC